AAGAGATGAATCGTTCACAACAGTTCAACAATAGCAGATGCCACATTGAATGGATGAACACATTTATGCATCAATAATTACAACAGAGTATTTCTAAATACAAGTTGTAAAAATACTTATATGTATTTAATATTAACCCTTTGGAGTCGACCGTCACGCCGGCGTGATCAGATCACATGACCTGTGCCGCATAATAACAACAGTCCGGACAACATTGCCGTGTGTTTCTGTCGAAAGTACTGGCTTGAAACTATATCCCAGTCTTTGTTTCATGCAAAGAGACCCAGTAAACACGGAGAGACGATGATATAAAGTTAATACATTTCAAAAGTATGAAAAATGGAAGCACATATTTGAATATCTTCGCCGTATTTTATCATTTTACGAAACGGAAAATACTGGAAACTGTAGATCCTGCTCAACAGGATGTATATGTGTATTTCTGTCGAAAGTACTGGCTTGAAACTATATGCCAGTCTTTGTTTCATGCAAAAAGACCCAATAAACACGGACATACGATGATATAAAGTTAATACAGATATATTTCAGAAGTATGAATAATGGAAGCACATATTTTAATATCTTCGCCGTATTTTATCATTTTACGAAACGGAAAATACTGGAAACTGTAGATTCTGCTCAACGGGATGTATTTACCAGGGAGGGGGTGAGGTAATCAGGTAAACGGAGTGATACGAAACGACACGAAGAGGGACGAAGAGGGACGGCGGGAAATGAGAGAGACGAAGATATACGAAGACAGGCGGCGGGAGACGAAGAGAGACGGCGGGACACTGCGATTAAAGCAAAGTGACGGACAAACATTGAGAATTTAGATATAGTTAGATAGATTTAGAGTTTTGAAGATTCAACTATGATGAAGAGAACTCTGAACGTGAGTCAAGCTTTAAGCTTGTTTTTTGACATGGAGGAGGAGGAACCTGTGATGTTGCCCTCTGTGTCGTATTGACAGAAACCGCTTTGAAGCGTGGCACAGATAAAGACAGAAAAAACAGATTTTTGTACATAATGTGTATATATATATTTGTATTATATTTAAAATAACACTTTTGCCTTATCAGAATGAAATCCCATGCTACCTCAATCAAACTTTCAATCTGTTTTTACGTTTTTTTGTTGTTGTGATTTTGGGTCCAAAATGTTCATATAGTAGAAGATCACTGCTCTAAACAAAGTCAAAAATCCTACATCCAAACGAAATAAATAGAATTAATTATGATGAATACGTTAAGTCTTGTTCATTGTTTTTCACTTTTATTAAATGTTTGATATTTCCGGTGGAAATTGTGGACTATCGGACATTCAAAATGCAGCATATTTTCACTCTCACACACATATATTCTCCTTTTACATACATACATTTTCACTCTCACACACGTATATATACACTCACATATTTATACATTTTGCTCTCATATTATCATATTTCAATGCACACATTCATATATTGTCACTCACACATTCATGCATGTTGTTCTCATATTCATATAATGTAATGCTCATATTTATACATTTTGCTCTCATGCGAAATCTACTAAAACAAAGTATGTCATGGTAGTGGTCAGCTGTTAAACACAAACGTGTATCTTAAGGGCTGTAAATATAATAAGCCTGTTGTCAATTTTAGACACAGGCTTATTATATTTACAGCCCTTAATAACATTCATTTTCTGGACTCAATGTGTGTCTTGGCCGTTTTCTTTGTTCCAAGCAAACGAGTGCTTTTTGTTTTGAAATCACTTCCGCGAGTTTCGCGGGCCTCCCCCCCTCGCTCCACTGACCATTAGACCATTTAGTAAGGTAACAAGCAAAAGGGCAGAAACGCCTCTCAGACGCTCTTCCGTTAACTTGTTTAATAAAGAAAAACCAATGGTCCGTAGATACACGGACTCATATAGCCTATGTATGTATACTGTAAGGAGAATGTATGTGCGTCAGAGGACCAGTATGAATTACGGGATAGCAATATGCAAACACAAACCTACAGACTGGGGGATGGGAGATCACAGGAGTGGGGGGAGAGCTGTGGAATGTGACCCTTGGGAGAATTCCTCCACACATTCCGATGGCCAATTCGTTTTAAACAAAGAGTTCGCAACACAGGACAGCATGGGCAACATGGGGGGTGGGGGCTGGTGAACGGTCTGGTCAATGTTTGTAAACACAATCCCCAGGATGTGTCCTAATCAGGAGCCGGGTAAATGAGAGACTGAGGAGCCCCCGAAAAACAGATCCCGAAATAGCTCGTCCTGGTTTCCGCAGCAGATAGGCCTACAGTATGGTGTCTGTGTTATGTCAGTTATTTTAAATAAAACGTTGAAAACTGAACTTGAAAATGGTTTCCTCTTTTTATTTTATGTATAATTTTCGGGACGGGGAGACGTGTGTGATTAAAAATTAATTTGCAGAAATGTAAAGTGATCTAACTAAGTTCTATTCATATTCTTGACGGGAAGAGCAGTGTAAATGGGTGGCCATATGCATTTGAAAAGCAATATAAATCACACAGTTATTATACAATAGGCTATAAAAGCACCATCGATAACCATTACCTTTATCCAATTCAAACTTTGGACGGGAAAAAAGGAAGGTGTACATGGTTGGGCTATACTGTAGGCCCAGGGGCTGGAGGCTGGAGTGCTGGAGGCTATGAAGGCTAAGCCTTCCCAAATATTTGTGTAACTGCATCCTGGTAAAATAAAAATATAATGTCTTTGACATTAGCGCTGCTATGCAGCCACCTGTGCCCTGTACCACGAAGCCAGTTCAACAGACCCTGGATATGCTTGAGTTATCTTAACTAACCCTAACAAACGAGATCTCGCTTAGCGGTCCTACGGCGCTAGTTATCAACTCGGTAAATCAAGCCAGGGTTTCTCTCTCCAGCTGAGAACGCGTTCACGTGAAAGGGGCGGGGTTAGCTACATTTGACCAATCACAAACAGGGACAAGTGTACTGACAGCGCAGCGTCATACTTCATTAATGAAAAGTAAACTAATATTAGACAAATATGAACTTTAAACATCCATGATGACTTAAACATATAATCCAGGATACAAGCCACATAGTTGCACCTGCAAGGAGAATACAGAACAACTCGTTAAAAAATAAACTACCGAGTGTTTGAAAGCGTACAACAGTTTTATGATACTGCCCCATCTAAAACACGAGGGGATCTGACTTTATTACATTTGAGTTGAGTGTTTCGTCAACTTAATGTGTTGCTTAAAATAATACGTCTGCATACAGTATATGTGACAATGTAACTAAGTGTTGCACGGCCAGATACGGCTCGAGAAGCTGACTCAGATAAGGAAATATTGTGATATCGATGTGAGATCGATGATCTGATTGATGATGTGATGTCAGTGTAATATGAATGATAAGTGCGACACGTCGGCGTCTTCTCTGCATACGGCAGTTTAAACTGCATTTCCTTTTTCCTGTAATATGACTTGATAGATTTAAACTCCGCACACTGAGCTCTGATCGGTCAGCAGGCGGTGCTTTCACTGAGTTGATCTCTTCTCTATAGACGCCGGAGGCGGGCAGCGTAAGATGGAAAACAAAGTTATTTAGCCTTCCCAAACCTGAGCCTCACGCGCCGCCTATGTGTAGGCCTACTGTATACATACAAAGGCCATTCAAGCTAGAGTTCTTCTGGAAATGTTCACATCAGGCACCTTCAAGTTAAACAATCAGGTGCACACTTTAATGTGCCGCCACCTCCGGACTCGGCTTGACTCGGTTTAAAGAATGCACAAATGTGTTTAATCGTTTATGTCAGATATGTACTAAGTAGCCTAAATACATTTGTTCCTGCTCAAGATTAGATTCAACTTTATTGTTATTGCACATATTGCAGGTACTGAGACAACGAAATGCAGTTTAGCTTCTAACCAGGTGCAACAAGCAATAAAGTGAAAAGTAATGTGCACAATACTACAGTAAACAATTAACACAGTAAATTATGTGGATTAAACCACATTTATTTCGTTAAACAGAAACGAAATATGATTTTGTATGAATGATTAAATGTAGGGTGAATTGCCCTAATGTGGGACATTTTTGCATTTCAGACTTCGGGAATATATTGCGATATGAAGCCGATACAATAAATCAAAATCCAGTAGGCTACCATTCCGAAATCCCCAGTAATATTAGACACTAATAATACTAATAATACGGTAAACTATTAACACTGTACATATTATTGTTTGCCCGTGGGATTAGGATGATCGGTAGTGAGACCCGTGCTGCATTTTCCTCCGGTCGGATGTGATATAAAAACAAAGCGATTATTTTTGTTGTTGTAAACTCACGTGGATTAAATTTAGTGCATTCATTTCAACTCGCGAACATATGATACATTAAATGATAGTGAGGATGATGATTGAAAATCGTTTGTTTGAGCCTGGATGCATTTCCTGATCTAAAAACATAGCGATGCTTTTGTACTTACACCAACGTGAATTAAACATGATTTTGTTAAATAAAAACATGGGGATGTTTAGTAAATGATTACATGTCTCTTATTTAGCACAGAATATGATCCTATCCGTGACATATGGATCTTAACAAATATCCGCTATATCAGATACCTGTAGATCAGCTGTTTATTTCACATGGGTTCCAGTGTGGCAGCTTTTTAATCACGGCTCCCCCTGGTGGATCCATGATCCATTGCAGCTGGTTTCATTAAAATTAAATGTATTTATCAAGGGGGCGTTTCAAATCCTGCGGGGGGGTTTTCCTTTTCAGCAGGGGCCCACCCCGTGCCGATCACGGACCCGCACGGGGAGGCGTCTGAAATGGAGCGCTCCATCTGTAAATGCTCAAAGCTGCTTTTATTATAAAGGAACCAGAGAAGTGTCTCACCAAGAACATTCAACAGAGCCACACTTTCTTAGCTGGGTCGATATAAACTGAAACCAGAGCAGCAGGTACCATGAAGGGGTTATCAACTTTCAATCCTCACCTTTGACCAGCAGAGTGTCGTCCATCTTTGAAGCGAATAGGTTCCCCCATAGACCAGTCACTCTTCATGGACACACAGCTGGGCTCAGGTTCCTCCAGCCTCCTCCTGAAACATGAGTAACAAACAGTTATGAATCTGGACCGTCACAATGGTCTGAAATACTATTCCTATTATCATGTGTTTAAATGCTCTCTTATTGCCTCCTAACGGAACCTGCTCACTCTACAGCTTCAATGCATCAAATGTAATGTTATGGCAGATTCCTTACATGACAGCGTATTTCTCGCTTATTCATTAAGGTCACATGGTAAGCTATAACAAGTCTGTTATTGAGTTAGGTCACACAGATTTAGAGAGGCCTAGGGTCTCGTTGCTAATTATCAGTAGATGTATACAAGTTTAAGTGAGCTGATGCCAAGGTCAGAGGAAGTACAGAGAGGGCCTGAGGTGACAGTTAAGTCTTTGTTAGTTAATTACTCCTAAAGATGTCATGAGATAATGACCTTTCGACATCTGGAATGTTCGACACTGAACAAAAATATAAACGCAACACTTTTATTTTTGCTCCCATTTCTCATGAGATGAACTCAAAGATCTAAAACATTTTCTATAAACACAAAATAACCATTTCTCTCAAATATTGTTCACAAATCTGAAAGAATCTGTGATAGTGAGCACTTCTCCTTTGCCGAGATAATCCATCCCACCTCACAGGTGTGGCATATCGAGATGCTGATTAGACAGCATGATTATTGCACAGGTGTGCCTTAGGCTGGCCACAATAAAAGGCCACTATTATTGTTGTTGCGCAACTGAATAATAATGAATCACAACCATATCTGTGTTTGTGTTTTACTGATCTCTCTCTGTGTTAACATTTAAAGTAGGTGAGCCATAAATTGCACTAACAGTAACAATATACTCAAGAACATTAAGGTCTGAAACTGAACCATAATGATGGACAGATTGAGCTGTATTAGGTGTTGATATGTGCTACCTGCAATGGTATAGAAGGCTTCTTTTATCGAGCCTCTCTGACACGTTAAACTCTGACTTCAGGCTGAACACACCTCGGTAGACCCTCCCTCAGCTTCAACAAGAAGTCTCTGTTCTTCAGTAACAACATGTTTTCTACTGCTGCTGATATAATGAAGTCACATGAAGTCCACTTACTCTGTCTCTGAAGGGCGGCCTTTAAAATAGATTGGTTCACGCCTCGACCGGTCACTCTTCATGGACACACAGCTGGGTCCAGGTCCAGGCTGCTGCTCTGGGCTTCACACACACACACAACACACACACACACACACACACACACACACACACACACACACACACACACACACACACACACACACACACACACACACACACACACACACACACACACACACACACACACACACACACACACACACACACACACACACACACACACACACACACACACACACACACACACACACACACACACACACACACACACACACACACACACACACACACACACACACACACACACACACACACACCACACACACACACACACACACACACACACACACACACACACACACACACACACACACACACACACACACACAGCTTTGAGTGTGAATAATGCCTGCTGAGCTCTGGAGAAGAGGACAGTCAGAGGTCTTCATCTCACCTCTGAGCTTTGGTGAGGCGTTCAGGGTCCCCACTCAGAGCGGGTTCAGTGTCCTCACAGGGATTCATAGCAGAGCTCACACCTTCACACACACAACCACCTGCTGGAGAACCACACATTATCTCATCAGGCCAGGTATAATATATACCTGGCTGCTAAATCCTAAGAACTGTTACAGGGTGTGTATTATTTTTAATTATGTAACTTTTTATTATATCATAACTTAGTACTTTTTTTTTAATGCATGTCACATATTTAACATATGTAATATTACGCTGTCTTTTTTCCTGCTGTAACTACGCAAATGTCCCCTCCGTGGGACTAATAAAGTGCTAGGACTGTCTTAGGGAAGAGAGCTTTTAGATGTGCAGCTCCACTAACTTGGAACAGTCTGCAAAAAGAATGGAAAATTACCAAGCTAGTACCACTACATGTTTTTAAAGCTCGGTTGGATGCTACAAAATCAGAGGCTGTTGGTACCTGTACTTGTGGTTAAATATGTAAATTGTAATCCTGTACATTTTGCTGTATGATGTCCTTTTGTTGTTCTGTTGTTTATGTTGTTATGTCTTCTTGTGGAACCTACTGCTGCAGGTCTCCCTTGAAAAAGAGATCATTGATCTCAATGGGATTTTACCTGATAAATAAAGGTTTTGAATTGAATTGAATTCTGATTCCGATTCCGATTCTGATTGAACAACCTCCAGTGTCCTCTATGTGGCGCTAAAGAAGAAGTGCTTAACCTCTTGAGCCCCATTGCCTCCGCCGGTGTGCAAGTTTAACTGGTTTTTGGATGAACTTGTGATATACTTGTGCGCAGGGGTTAAATTGGGCCGGGGCTGTCCGGGGCTCTGACGTCATCACCCTCGCTCATTTGTCTTTTGTTTAAGCCATATGTTAAAACATCTCTCGTTCTTAATATAGACTTTATTTAGGGTCGATATGTGTTGACTTTACCTTAAAATAGCAGGCGTGTGTGTGTGTGTGTGTGTGTGTGTGTGTGTGTGTGTGTGTGTGTGTGTGTGTGTGTGTGTGTGTGTGTGTGCAGAGAGTCTGCAGCTGTACCGCCAAACCCCCGACCCGTCTTGTAACACGGAGCCCGTTTCCTACACCATCAGGGCCCGTTCTAACCAATTTGCTGCCCTCGGCGAGATATTTATACATATTTTTGTATCTCTCAAGTTTTAAACGATATTTTTGGTTTACTGTCCTATAGTATACTGTTGTGAGTTTTCATAGTATGTTTAATACTTAAAAACGAAAGTTAGTTATAATCAAATATAATCAATTATATTCTTGTATAACCCACAATGAAAATGCTTCATATTTTAGGTTTTTCTATAGTTACAGTATAAACAAAACAAAGTGGTTTGTTTAGGTTGAGTTTTCTTCCTCTCCTCTGGCAGCAGTCCACAGGGAGGGGGGGGGGGCTTCACACTGGAGAAACATTAGAGGCCAAAGAGAGTTCATGTCCTTTTTACCTCATATGAAAGGGTGTCTTATCCCATAACAGCTGTGGAACATGTCGGGACATGTTTAGCCTTGTACATTAGTGCGCATGCGCAGTTTTCAACTGAATTGGGTGAAGAGGAGGAGTTTGTTTTTTTGGGTTTAGGATCCAGTTTTTTTAGCATAAAGAGACTGGTTTTTTGAGAGAGCAGAGAGAGGGGGGGTGACCCCTGGTAGACTCTCTCCGGGTAGGCTGTGTGCTTGAGAGCTGGGTTAATAGCTCTCGGTAAGGTCCTGCCAGACGGGGTAAATATCTCTCGAATGTATTGGTTGTTGGCTGAGTGGAATGATTTGATGAGAGATGTGTGTATGAATATTATAAATACTGCCATCTGTGAGGAAAATCTCCCCTCCGAAATTGCAGATAGGTATGGGTTTTTAAATGTTATACCCGCCGTCTGTGTCGGAAAAAACGGTATGAAACTGATGTGAATTGAGTTGGTGAAATCAAAAAGTTGAATGCGCTTTTTATTGTCACCGGTCTTTTTACGAGGAAATACCTCTAAATTCTATCGGGAGAATTTTAAAATGTCACAACTGAAATGGGCAGTTGAAATTAAAACATTTTGGTAATAAATGTAAGACTGTGAATTAAAGTTTCATTTGAACATGATCACAGCACGGTTTTTTGTTAGTATGATTATAATGTTGTGAGAGAGAAGGTAAAAACCCTGTATTAGTTTGGACCTATTTTTCTTCAAATAAACTGATCCCACCTTTTGGACTGGGATAATTTAAAAGACACCTGTGCCCTCCTCTCCTGCTTCCAAGGTAAGATTGCACCCTGCCACACACACTTAGGTAGGAGCACACTCCATTTACTGATATCAAAATCCTTCGGGATCGCTTAAACAGATTAAAAAAGAGTTGTCTGAATTGAAACAGCAGTTAATTGAAACCTTGGTTCTTCGGGAAGTTAGTAGAGGTGAGATCTTGCTGACGTTGGTGGATCTGAGCCAAGCAGCAAACTTACATAGACTCAATAACTTCGGAAAGGTCAATTAGTAGGTCAGAGTAATTTACCGGAATAAATTATCAGGACCTCTCCGACTCTAAACATGGCGCCCAACGTGGGGCTCTGTGAAAAGTAATATTTTTACAGAGTCAAAATACAAGAACCAAAACGACCTAGTGAAAAAAGTCGAGGAATACAAATCAGCGAAATACAGGCTGAAAGTCTTGTTAAAATACCTACCCCAAATCCTAGAATATATATAATTAAACCTGAAAGTGTAGTAATTTAAGTTAATACTATTGCACCGGACTGAGGGTTATATTATATCGGATATAGCTGTCTGATTAAAGAAGCTAAAGAAGGTTCATTTTCCCCTAGTCAAATTGAGAAGCCTGTGGTCCCTTTAACACAGGTTTAGGTGGCTAAAGTGAAGTCAGCCGTAGGAGCACTGCTCAGTACTTGTCCAATTACTTTGAAACTTATAGGTAGGACTTGACAAAGAGTTGCGGTTTGAACTTTTGCGTTAAAACATAACGTGGGGAAGAGTTAATGGGAGATTTAATAAAGATAAACATAGGTCTAAAGGTACCTTATGCTGTTGAAAAAATTCGAAGCTCGGTACATACAACTCTTAGCTGAGGTACCCGCATGTACTAACTGAATCCAGAAAGAGAACTTAGAACCAAGTGACGGTATAGTCGGACTGATCACCCGTTGAGAGTAAAGCCTAGGAACTTGCATGTGTATAAAAGAGTGAACTTGAACCCTTTAATACATTTTTGTGTTGTTTTTTTAAACAAACAAACAAAAATAAATGGCAGACGAGGTTAGAACGCAGTTTTTAATGACTCGGAGCCAACCACACAGGGGGGATACACAGAAGCAAAATCCGGAGCTTCTGCCCGCCCTGGTCAGCTTAGCCCAGACCCACGGGCGTACCGCGACCAAAATACTTTCCTGTCAGACTACCGTTTGACAGAGAGCAACAAGCAGGTGGTATAATGTTTGAGACCCTATCTCCACCATACAGGGATAAAAGCTCAAAAAATGCCATTTAGGAGTATCCCATCTACTACTCCTAGAAGAAAAAACACATTGTTAGACATGATATTCAGGAAAAAGGAATGTTGGAAATAAATAATGTCAAATATTGAAAATCCTAAAACTGGATCAACAAACCATGTTAATAAACCCTGCTAATAGGAAGCTAAAACATGCAGGAGAAATAGCAGCAGCTCTGAAAAAGAGAATAGGTCCTAGCATGCAAGCACAGTGTGATAATATGATAAAGACTATTAAACTGTCAGAAGGCGATGTGGTGATCAGATGACCCACAAATACCGGTTGTTTTGAATGTACTTTTAAGAAAAAACCTATGTGGGAACTATCAGCAGATATCAAGCCCCAAAAATATCTTCAAAACTAATATGAGAAAGTTTTTGCGAAGCTAAAGCTCAAATACTTTACCAAAATCAACTAAAGTATTTACTTTTGACCCCTGTTTGGGAATGGGATTTTCTGTTACACAACAGAAAACTCAATTTAAGCCTTAAAGAACGCTTTAAAGACAAGTCAATGAGAGTTAAATGTGGTGCTATTTTGCTCATGAATGGAGCTTGCACTTTTGGAAAAAAAGGTCTCCTCTTTTCTCTGCTCCCGAGGTGCTGCAGAAACACGCAGCACACGGGGTCAAAGACAGGCGTGACCTCTGGAGGGGAAGAAAATTTGAGCAGACCACGAAAGACCATTAAAAGTTTTATGGCCTCAGCACAGAGGAAGATCTGGAGATTTTAAGGAACTCTCCCAAAGCAAGCTACCCATCCCCCACCCCAGCACAAGGGAAATAGTGTTCCTCTCACCAATGAATAAATCAACTCTTAACCAAGTCGGATCTAAAATAGACATAGCTCCAGTTGTTAAGAAAAGAGGGAGATTCAAAAAATTATCTTAACACCAGAACAATAATATCAAATATCAAAAACCAAAATAGTATGTTGAAACCCATTCTCAGAAACTAACAATGTGGAGATAAGGAACCAGGGTGATAGAAAATCTGTGTTATTCATGTCCATGACTTGATCAGGAACAGAGGAAGAATTATCACCTGAAGAGAAGCATCTTGCACTTGCATTAAAAATGTATCCAGCCCTGAGGGAAATGTCTCAAGGTACCAAAATGTGCATATACACTCTTTATTTTTCAATATCTGAAGCTACTAAACAAACTGTTCAGGGAGCAAAAACAATGATGAGTAGATGAAGAAAATGGAAGATGATAATGTCTGATCCAGATGTGGGGTGCAGAGGACCACAGGAAGTAAGCCACAAAGGGAAACATTGAAACCCTTACAGAAAACCGCTACTCCACAGATAACACTGTTTACAGAGGGGAGTTTGCGAAAAGGTGACCAAGCAGCCACTTGGGCCTTTATAAAGAAAACTAATTCAGGTGAAGTACTTTGCAAGCAAAAGGGTGCAATACCAGGTACAGCCTGCTGAGGAAAAGGCCATTTGTTGAGGGACTTCCTTTTGCTAAAAAAGGAAAAATAGCACACATCCGTATTATTACTGATAGTGATTATTATTAAAAAGCGGGTAAAGAAGAGCTTAATAATTGGGAACAAAGGCAGTTCAAAAATG